ATCTTAAGAAATACATGATAAAAAAAGAAAAATATATATATATATATATATAGTATAAATAAAACATCATCATTGTTTTTAAAATACTTATATTTTGGAAAACTTTATCGCACCTATTATAATATATTTTTCTTAATTATATATTACATATGGTCAAGAGAATATTAATTCTATCATCGTAGAGAACAAAAAAAGCAAGTCGACGTACCTTCATTTTCTCTGCTTCAACATCGCAACCACTGGACTGGAAGTAAGCTTCAGGGGACCTCTCCATGACTCCATTCTCTCTGCAAAACGGCAGCCAACACCTAGCAAATTTAGCGGCTTCGAAGAAGGCAAAGAGCGTGAGGTCTGAACCTCCATCATCGGAAACATAGACAGATAAGCGATCGGAAGGGTAGTCGAAGGCTAGAGCGGAGAGGGCGGTGCTCGCCACGCCCACCGGCGGCTCCTTATAAGGGTCGGCGGTGCAGATGAAGACGTCTAAAGCCGGAAAATCCTTTCTGGCTGTGACTTTCAAGAGTAGTTCGGGAAACTCCCAGCGGCGAACGGGGCGCCAGCGGAAGCCTTGGGATAGGAGCCACATGAAGGCGAGGAAGACATCGGCGAGGAGGAGGAGGAAGGAGGAGGTTGTGGTGGTATGGTGGTGGAGAAGGAGGAGGAGGGATAAGGAGTATAGAAGGAAGTGGAGGCGGTTTAAGGTGGTGCGGGGATGGATTTGGTGTGTGTGGAGTAAGGGAGCCATGGGAGGAGGAGCAGGACTGAGTAATTGTGTTGAGGGAGATAAGTTGGAGTTTTATTTGGATGGGATAGGTTATATGTGTAATTATTTAAAGATGATAAATTATTGCATTAGGCTTAGGAAGTCAAGGTAAGCTAATCATTAACTATTTTGAAATTTCTTCTTAATTATTAGAGGGCATATAGTAGGGTATGATTGGTTAGTTATTTGTTTTTAATAAATTTCTCTATTCAATAATGAGAATAAATATTAATAGATTATCTCTTAAAAAAATATTAAAATTATATCTTGTAATATTAAAATTTCCAGACCACTTGTACGAGCCAATCATATTATTATTTGGCCAAATAAGAAAGACTGGTGAAACAAATTGATGCATGCATCTGTATCATTCAAAGGAGTAATTTTTCCGTGTGGAGTCAGGACATGAAAAACCGTCCGTACTATGAGTGCACATACTATGTACTAACTTATCATTTTAACTCTATATAGAGATCATATATTCATATAAATAAGATAAGTCAGCAACAATTCATAGGAGATATTGTGTTTTTATGTGAAAATTCTAAATGAGGAAAACAACACAAGGTATTTTTAGGGATTATTGCCCTTGTCAAAAAAAAAAAAAAAAAAAAAAAAAAAAAAAAAAAAAAAAGAGCAACAAATAGGCAAATGTGCAATTATTTTTAAGTAATAATTAAATTAATCAATGATTGGGCATTTTAAATTGAGTAAAGGTGCCCACTCAGTGTGTGTATATATATATATATGAGAAAATTAGAAAAAAAAAAATTTGTGGTCTCAAATCATTATTTAGATAAGTTTTTTTTTTTTTTTTTTTGTAGTTTTTTTTTTTTGTAAGTAAATTAATTGAGAAAATTTTTATATCTTTTGATTTCAATGTTTGCATGAGGGGTGTCCTAAATCTTAAAGTCATGACCTAGTTAAAATTGATACTCATAAAATATTAATAAAAATAAATAAATAATATTATTCAGATATTTATGATGAAATAAGAACCATATGATTCATATGCTGAAATAATATCTGTTTGATTAGTTTGATGGAGTATTGACATGACTGGAGACGATATGTTTTTATCTTTTATACATAAATAGGAAGTAAGATAGAAAGTGATTTCAGGCCAAATCAATTCATACAACTTAACTTGGCTAGATTGAATGATATTACTATAAATGTTTAAAAAATTAGACAAGACGGTCCGGTTTGATCCTTTCCTTTAATCGAATCAGCATGAAACGAGATAAGCTCGCCTCAAATCAGCAGTCCAACCGTTAGACCAGATAACCAAAAACCGTTTAAAAAAACCGGCATTCTCTAACTCTCCATGGTCGTCACTATTCCTAGCTCGATTCAGACCGCTATGTGACTGGCTTGTGATCGGCACCTACAAGATCCCGTCTCCACCAGTTTAGCCGAATAATTGTCGGATGCCAAGTCCGACAATAATGAGGAAGATCGTGAATCCGAACAGAAATAGGCATTTGAGACTGACGAAAATAAAACAATGTCTGATTTTCGGGCCGACTTTGACCATGAACACAAGCTGAATCACGATTTCACATTGAATTGAAATGATGATCAGCACGAAGAAGTTAGTATCTTCATCTGCAACGTCCCGTGTGTGGACGTTGACATGTTCATGAAAGAATGTTGAAATGGTTTTGAATTCAGTTGTCGATGTGAATGATTTGGAAACTATAGCAAACAGGAGTGTAAAATCCTTAAATTTAGCCATGGAGGGAAGCACCTAACTGCCCTCCAAGTGTTTGTGGAAATGCTCCAATGCAATGAATTGGGAACTATATTAAATGCCAGTAGGTCACTACATAATCCAAAACTATATTAAAAAGCTGTAGGTTATCCAAGCATCTATTTAGATGTTAAATGTGTTTGATATAAAGTACGCATAATTGAGTAGTAAATGAAAGTTCAGTACATTGATGAAGTTCTATGTTTGAGCCAAACCATTTATATTTGGCCTTTGTACCCATAATATTATTAAAAAAAAAGATTTTATTTATTTATGTTCTATGCTTCATAATTATCTTTTTTTTTTTAATTTGTTGTCACATATTTGATATTATTATATCAGTATTATATCAATTATGCTAATTTTTAAATAAAATTAATATTTATTATGTCATTCGATTGAACCTCAGAGGAACCATCGAACCGTAAATATCTCCTTGTTCTAGATCATTGTCTGGTCCAATTTTGACAACTTTGATTACTAATAGTATAATTTTTTAAGGTTGTGTTTTAATGAAAATCTTAAATAATTAATAAAATAAATTCGTGTTTCTAGATATATAATTTTTTGTGTCCTCAAACATTTGTGGCGGTAGAAAGATAAAGAGCTTAGCATCTCAGCTTTGAATGAAGATCCATCACACATACAGATAAAGAGAAAGAGGTGCAAGAATCATAACAGACGTCATAATTTTTACGTGAAAACCTTTATAAAGGGAGAAAAACTACGGGACCTTTACCAGTTGAAATGAATCCACTAGCATTTTTTATTGGAAGAATCCAATGATATGAGAGCTATTCTCAAGAGAATGTTTGCCTATTCTTTTGGTTGGTAGGATAGTAGTTGGGCGATGGAGGTCGGAAGGACCCTAGTCAAGTGAGGAAGGTTTGAGGGATCGTAATTGAGAGACGGAGGTCAAAGGGACCGTAGTCGGCAGACTATGATAGTTAGAGAGACGATAGCATGCGGTCAACGAATGTCAGAGGGATCGTAGTTGATGGGTGATGCTGGTAGGAGGGACCCTAGTTAGGGTTGTCAATATTTGAGTCGACTCAAAACATGACCCAGACCCGACCAAAAAATTTCAAGGTTCGAGTCAACCTGTTTGCCATACGGGTCAATTTGGGTTCAATATTCTGAAGCATTTACAAAAGTGGGGCGGGTTCGAGTTGTCCCAAAAATCCAAAATCAACCCAAAATGACTCGATACCCTGTAGCCCGATTACCCCAATCCCGCGCTTGCGCCCTGCAAGCAGTGCACCCAGACCTGCATCCTTTTTTGAGCTCCCACCGTCTAGCACACTTGCATGCACCGTATTGATGCTCTCCCCCTCCCCCTTGCTCCAACCATCTGCATGGATCCCACCCAGACCTGCACCCTTGCCCTCTCTTGCAACGGCAGTGCCTCACGCCACGCAAGATGAGCTCGCCCACATACATGACATTCCCCTTCGACCTTCACCTGCATTTATTGTACTCGAAATTTTCTCTATCATTGGGAAGGAGATTCGAGTTAGGTTGGTTAGTGGTTCGGGTTAGATCAACCAAGTGCGGGTCAGATCCAGGTCATAAATTCTAAACATTTACATAACCATGTCAAGTTAGGGTCAACCCATTTGAAGCCGAGTCATTCTAGAGTTTGACCCAAACCCAATCTGGAAACTCATTTTGGCACCCCTCGCCATAGTGGACGAGCGATAACGATTAAAGGGTAAAGTAGTCAGCACGCGACACTGGTCAGAAGGATCGCAGTCGACGGGTGATGATGGTCGGAGGGTCCATAGTTGACGGGCGAGTTCATAGGGATCGTAGTTGATGGGAGACAGAGGTCTAAGAGACCATACTCAGCAGACGACGGGGTTCACAAGGGCCGTAGTTGATGGACAACTGTGATTGGACGGACTGTAATATGTGGATGACGGTGGTCTAAGGGACTGTAATCGACGGGAAACGGTGGTCGAAAGGGCCGTAGTCGGTGGGTTTCGGTGGTCAGATGGACCGTAGTTTGCAGGCAATGTAATTTGTTTATATTTCAACAAATTACTTTGAATCGAATCACTTATTTTAGAATTCTTTGTGAAAGTCAAAATTGAATTCATAAATTAAATATGAAAGTTAAATGTAATAATGAAGGTGAATCATTTTTTTAGAATCGAGCTAAACAATATAAGATAAATCAAGGCCAAATTACTATCAACTATATTTTAAATGATGTAGAGAATTTAAATTCATAATCAATCACATTAAAGTCAAGCGACCTAAACAAATAATCACATCCAAATTCAAGCTCAAATGGCATTAAATTGAATTAATTAACAGATGTAGATTGATCATAACTAATTTTAAAAATCAAATTAAATATAAAATTAATAAATATTAAGACATGGACACTCAGTTAAATAACAATAATAAAAACCAAACTTAAATCAAGTTAGCGAACACAAAATCAAATTACAATAAATTCGCCGGGGCGATTTTCATGCGATTCTAGGGCTTCTCCTTTGTAGATGTTCGTGGCCCTGTTGGCTTTGATTCTTCGCTGGTTTTGCGTGGTTTACTTCGGTTTGTCTTGTACTTTTTCTTTCTCTTTCTTATTCTGAGGTTTTCTGTGAGTTTTGCTGTAGGGGGATGACGATGCCTTCGTCATCTAACCCCGTTTCCTCAGCGCCTGTCGAAGGTAAAACCCGGTCCTTTAAAGATATGATCGCTGGATCTTGTTCCTCTTCACAAAAAAATTCCTTTATTCACTCGACTTTTAAGGGCTGTCCGGCTTTACTGTTTCAGGATTCGGTGGTAGAACAACTAGCGGCTCCTTTTTCACTTACTTTAGTTGGAAAGTTTGTTATGAGAAGGCCTAATCTTGATGTTATTAGAAAATTTTTTAGTAACCTTAAGCTTTCTGGTTCTTTTCACATTGGGCTATTGGATCAGAGGCATATCGCCATTCAACTCTCTAACGATCTTGACTACAGTCGGATTTTTGCAAGGAGGTCGTATTATGTTCAAGCTTATCAAATATGCTTACTGAAATGGACGCCCGATTTTGATGTGCGGGAAGAATCACCTATAGCACCGGTTTGGTTATCCTTTCCTAACTTAAGACTACATTTCTTTAACCAACAAATTTTATTTGGCATGGCATCTATCTTTGGTAGTCCTTTGCAGACTAACCAAGCTACGGCGACCGTTTTAAGACCTTCGGTTGCCAGAGTGTTGGTTGAACTGGATGTCTCTAAGAAGCATTCTACTGAAATCTGGATTGGATCGAAAAATAAGGGGTATTTCCA